CACACACACACACACACACACACACACACACACACACTCACATACACTCACACACTCACATCCTGAGAGACACTGGCACTGTTTATACACACACATACATACACACACACACACACACACACACTCTCACTAAAGCTCTAACACAAACCAGCCATCAAACTACTTTCCCTATTTTAGAAATAACAGAGAAAGAGAGAGACAGAAAGAGGAAGACAAAACCAGTGAAAGTTGTCAAACTTCATTTCTGCTTTTCATGTGCTATCTTTAAATACTGTCCAAAAATTAAATATTGCCATTTAATCATTTGAAACACTTAGGACTTTTTCTTTGACGAAACACTGACATATTTAGCAGAATGTCGATGCTGCCCTTTTTCCACAGTATACATGACTACAAAACGAAGCACATACAGCAATGCATTTGTTACAGTATTTATCAATATTAATGAATACAAATACAACTGTTCATTGTTAGTTCATGTTAGTCCATAAAAATATTATTAACAGATATAACGTTTGATCATTGTCTTTTTGTCCACTTTTTTGGAGCTCAAAACTATAAATGACCCTCCGAGAATGAGAGCATGAGAGCAGCATGAACATTCGACTAAGCATCTTCTTTTGCGTTTCACAAAAGAAACTCGAACAGATTTGAAACGACACGAGGGTGAGAAAATCTTTGGATGGACTATATCTCTGTTCATTTATGAGTCGTTACTCATGCATCAGTCCACACACACTCTCTCGTTTCACTTCTGAGATGATCTCATCATGCAAACATGAACTCAAACACTCACACTGAATAATCATAATAATCATGCCATTCCACGAGCCCAATGCAAACATGACATCTAACCTGTAATTTCTGTATACGGACTTTAGTTTATTTAAAATGCAAACTCATCCAAAAACACACACAAACCAGCACTACTTTAAAAGGAGTCTTCAGAGTACCTGATAATCATGGATAATCACTTCAGATACATCAGTATCATGCAAATAATCCCACACTACATGAACATGGTACTAATCACAGTAAAGAACGGTCAGACTTGGTTTAGCCAGACTAAACCAACACACAGTCACTTAGAGCTGAAATGTAATGTTTGTTAGTCTACAAATGAATACACAAGAGATTCCCTCTAAACGCTCTTTGTTATTCATGCGGGAACAGAAATGTCAATCAGGTTAAAGTGAAAGTCTAGCAGACTATGTGGGTGTAAAACAACTATATAATCATGTATTAACTCTATAAAGCCTGCTGTATCATATTTGACAAACTTCTAAGTAGGCTTGCCGTGATAGACGGTGCTGACGGTGATACCGGTGTTAAGCCGCAACACCGGTTAAGTCACTTGCCCACCGTGGCACCGACCCCCACCGTCGTTTTGATTTTTTATAATAATAAAAATAATTTTTAAATCGCATCACAGATCAGACTTCATTTCTCCAGTCGAGCTGACTGACGAGAAGAGTGAGGTGAGACAGACAAGACGATCGCGGATGATTTAGTTTCGAAACCAGATGCAAAAGCGCCTGTTTGGCAATATTTTGGATTTTGAAAAGTCTATTGACTTTTGCCGTTTATCTAAGGTGATTTTGGAAGTTTTTTTAAACATTCGTTTCTTATTTAATTGGTTCCACATTATTTGCTGATTTTTACTTTATTTAAACTGTCATTTATTTATTTTATTTGACATAAAGGTGTATGCCGTGCCTCCAAGCTTTCTTACTCGTTTTGCTAATAAACGTTCTACGTTTCTTATTTATTTGGTTAGATATTATACATGTTTACTTAGCCTATTTCCACTTTTGTATACCTATTTAAACTTTATGTAAGTTATTTGTTATTTTATATTAGGCATTTTAAAAGCGGAGGGAAAGAGGGAAAATTCAAACGAACTAAAAACGAACAATTGCTTTACACCGAATTGCCGCTATTTGAAAGTGAAAGTAAAATGCACACGCCGCTATTTAAAAGCAAGGAAAGCGAGGAAAAGAGGGAACGCCCCCGCGGTGATACCGGTGTTGTCACACTTCGATTAACCTGTGGGAAAATTTCCTCACCGTCACAACCTTACTTCTAAGGTCTCTACATGATCAAACTTTGCTGTTAAACCTGTCGCACACAGTTTTTTTTTTAGAGTAAGAGGCTTTACAGGGTTAATTGCACATATATCATGTCGCTCCGGAGGATAAACAGTGATGCTGTGTGTGTAACAGAATGTGAGCGCGCTCGATGGATGATGCAGAGCTGCTCACCTCTCTAATGAACACATTATGTAACCGACTCACAATGGTTTTCTCAAGATCCAGCAGCGTTAGTCACTCGCTGTCGGCCGTTCCGTCAAAATAACCTCATCACATGAGAAAGAAGCATTAAAGCTGCCTTATACTAAAGCACAGAGCTCTCTTTGTGAGATTTACAACATGAGCATTTCTCCAAAATAAACTAATCTATTACACTAGCGGTCAGAAGTTTGGAAACACTGACTCTTGAGTGTAAAATCCTTTTGATAGACAAATGTGAATTACGTCTACACAACAATTTTGGCCTAAAAATAGTATCTTTATATAACTAAAATATTATTATTATTATTTTTTTTTTTTATGAATTGGAGCAGATAATTAAGGAAAAGCATTATGATGAAAACTAAAACATTATTTATTTGTTTTTATTTTTTTATTTTTTTTAAATGGATGAATTGGAGCAGATAGTGAAGAAGTATTATGATGAAAACTAAAATAATATTTTTTTTCATCATAATACTTCTTCACTATCTGCTCCAATTCATCCATTAAAAATATTTTTTTTAAATAAAAATAAATAATGTTTTAGTTTTCATCATAATGCTTTCCCTTCACTATCTGCTCCAATTCATCCATTAAAAAAATAAAATAATATTTTAGTTTAAAAATGATATTATTTTAGTTAACTAAAATATTATTTTATTTTTTTAAAGGCTATAACAACTAAACTACCAAAACTAAAGATGTTATATATGAAAACTGAAAAATAAACATTAGCATTTATCCATTAAAAAAATCAAATAATATTTTAGTTTAAAAAAAATATTATTTTAGTTAACTAAAATAGCTATTATAATTTTTTTAATGGATAAATTGGAGCAGATTGTGAAGGAGAAGCATCATCTCCATCTGCTCCAATTCACTCTTTAAAAAAAATTATATTTCCTAAAATAATATTTCCTCTAGTTTTTAAAATCAGCTTATGAAGTTCGATGATGAATGTCCAGAGCATTATTTATGTAATGAATATATCAGTTTTTACGACTTCACAATTCTAACATGTGGAAAAACAGTCCAAACTCTGACTGGTACATAAAAGTAAAAAGTATAATAATAACATATAGAAAGCATGCATTACATGTATTTTTCCAAACTAATAAACTTACTTAAAACTAAATTAAAGTAACAGATCTACAGCATTTTTGTCACCAGTTCATTTGCATCTTCTGCAAAACTTCAGCTGCACTGTAATAATAATGAACCACTATTTAAAAGAGAAAAAGTTGTGTGTGGAGGTCTGCAGTGGTCTGGTCTCTCACCGGTGAGTTTGGGGTCCGTCTTGCGGCGGAACCGCTCTTTAGCGCGGAGTTTGGAGAAGGTTCTTTTAAGCAGCGGCTCGGCCATCACTGAAGCGCCTCAGAGCCGCTCATTCACGGGACCTCCGCCGAAACACACGGAGCAGCGCGGAGCCTGAGCGGAGGAGCGGGGCTCATGATGTCAAACACAGGAAACACATTCCGCGCATTCCACTGCTCACGTGCAACCGCGAGGCATCACGGGAGATGTAGTTCACTGCAGTGTTACTGCGAAAATAAAAATACTGCAATACTTCCATTTCTAGAACAGGAACTAGACCTAATATCCAAAAAATGTCCTCATTCTTAAAGACTAACTAAAGACGTTATATTGTCTACACAAATGTGACCCTGGAGCACAAAACCAGTCATAAGGGTCAATTTTTCGAAATTGAGATTTATGCATCAACTGAAAGCTGAATAAATAATCTTTCCATTGATGTATGGTTTGTTAGGAGAGGACAATATTTGGCCGAGATACAACTATTTGAAAATCTGGAATCTGAGGGTGCAAAAAAATCTAAATATTGAGAAAATCATCTTTAAAGTTGTTCAAATTAAGTTCTTAGCAATGCATATTACTATTCAAAAATTAAGTTTTGATATATTTACGGTAGGAAATTTACTAAATATCTTCATGGAACATGATCTTATAACGTTCTTATAGGGTGAATTCAGGTAAAGTGGGCCACTTTTTGTAAAAACGTGTAATATAGATACCTATGTTTTTTTCTTTTCTTTATTGCTTTTATTAACTTTAAGTTCCAGCTATAATATTTCAATTTGAGTTCATATAAAGTGTTACTTGCAAGGTATAAACATTTTGAGATCATGCACTCCAGACAAATTTCTTTTCAGGTAAAGTGAGCCATCCCTTATTTATCAACAATTATTCAGCATCTTAATTAAAAACATATGATTTATTAACACATATTATCAGACAAACTTATTTAACAAACCCAAAAATGCATAACCTATAGGTTATGAGTAAAATTTAAAATCTTAATTCATGTGTGAAATTCCAAAGAACTGATAGAACATGTTGTGTTGACATCAAATTTGATGAAATCTGAATATCAGAATATTAAGAAATCAGAATATTGATAAAAAATGAACTCTACAATATATTCAGAATGTGACTATAACACAAGCAACAACAAATAGGCAAAAAAATAATAAAAGGAACATTTATATAAATGGTAACCATATGTAAAAATGTTTTTCTGTCTCTGTTCTCTAAACACTTTAAATGAACTTTAATAGTGTTCATATTTTAAGCTTTATATTCTGCATCTACACTTTGCTCCTCTCATCCTTTCTTCACTCCACAGATTGAACTTCATGCCTCACTTTCCTTTCTATTCTCTCTTTCCTTTCTTCCATCTCTGCCTTGAATTTCCTGACTGCAGTCTCATTTCTGTTTTCTAAAAAAGTAAATTATACAAGTCAACTATAAAATATCCAACAAATGTCGATTTATTTAATGAATTTGGGTATAATTACTGAAGTTTAAATGTTGACCCACTTTACCTGAATCTGGCCCACTTTATCTAACACATTCAGCCAAAGTGGGCCAGCAATATTTAAACACCTTACAAGAAAATGAACCAATGTTTAAAAATGTTGGGTTGTTTTGACCCAGCGGTTGGGTTGTTTTGACCCAGCGGTTGGGTTGTTTTGACCCAGCGGTTGGGTTGTTTTGACCCCAACCGCTGGGTCAAAACAACCCAATAGCTGGGTTTGTCCCTTTTTAACCCAGCGCTGGGTTATATTTAACCCAGCATTTTTTAGAGTGTACTATTTGTTTCCATTTAGTGAGCAACCTTATAACTTAGAAATTAAAATCTTAAGTCGAAGGGTTTTCTTCCTTTCACCATAAGGCAGTCCAAACACCAGTGTCATATTGCATCAACCAAAACAATTTTATAATTTAGAGAAATAGTGTCCCTTTAATTAAGAACCGGTGTTACGCTCTGAAAGTGTAAATCCATTGAACACAATACAATCAAGCTTAAATGGCCCACTTTACCTGAATTCACCCTAACCTAAATTTGTTACCTGGGCTGATAGACAGATGAACAAACGTTCTTCCAGTAACGTTATCTGGTCTTAAATAATGTTCTCAAAACGTTAGTAACAAAAACATTGCTTATACATCATATCCAAAAAATGAATACGTAAATAATAGATAGATGATAGATTAATTTGCTAAAAATAATCATGTTACAGCAGCGCCACCTACCGGTGCAAATGATGCAAACCTAAAGGTCTGTTCAACACAAACGTGTAAACAACATACTGCAACCACGGTCATTACACATGCATATGCACATTCTAGTTTGTATTACAAATTCGAACACAAATATATTTAATAAATTAATATTATTATGAATATTAACATTTAAAACTTCTTTGCACTTTGCACTTCACACTTTCTCTATGATCAAAATAGTTTTTCATAACCCATCAGTGATGTGCATTACTCATATCAGAGTTCATTAATTATGTATGATGGGCAGTATTTCATATGCTGCATGTTTATGATGCATCAGCACCCGGAACTGCAGCTGAACTTCATCTGACAAGAAACACTTCAGCGGCAGCTCATCATAAAGGTCTTATTCATGTGACATTTAAAGCGCACATAAGTGTGTTTACATTGTATATTGTATGTATATATTATACGCGCATGTATTAATGTAAGTGAGTTGTGTGTGTTTCAATTTCAATTTCAAATTTTTCAATTTTAATTGGCGCACACATTAAACTCGCTGGTTATTAAAGTTGGACACTAAAGAGGCTTCTCTCCGCAGGTTGCTGCTGGATGATGATGATGGGGTCAGCGGGTCTGATCGGGTTTCTGCGCGCGCTCTTCTCCGGTTGTTCGCCGTTCGGGATCCTCGCGCTCTCCGGTGCGACGCTCCTGTGTGCGCTCGCGACGCGTCTCGCCCTCAAACGACGCGCGCTGCGGTGCTTCAATCAGCCGCCGCAGAGAAGCTGGATCATGGGCCACATGGGACTAGTGAGTTCAGTTAAATGTAACATTTTTTTTAAATGTAACAACTTGTTTCAGAATGTTCAAAAGTAACAAAATTGTTTCAGAATGTTCAAAAGTAACAAAATAACGCTTTCATAACGTTCTATCCTGTTTTGTTAGCTGGGAAAATCCACTATAGTATCTTTTTTTAATAACAAATCTATAATATTTAAGGGTTTTCATTGGCATATTTTGCATTTGCATATTCATATATTCCTATTATAGTCGAGTCTCTATCTTAAACTGTATTTTTGGTCTACCAGTGGAGGAAACGTTATTGCTCAAGATGCTAACAACAGGGAACATGGAAGTCAGAAACTGACATTGCATTGCTTTTAAGTTGCACAAGCATATATGCAGTGAGCACCATCATGCATTTGGCAGGCAAAGCAGAAAAACAGGTTCTTCAGAAGCCACACATATGAAATTGTGGCCTGTTCAGATAATGTTATGGATTAATTCATCAGCTGAAGTGCTTTCAAATGAAACAATAGTGATAGTCCCTCACTGTATGAAGATACAGGAACTAGACATTTACTGCACTGCTCTGCAAAAGATCACTATCTGAGTTTTACAGAACTGCTTTCCTCATGGGTGATAATTCAGCATTGTTGCCCAGGCGTGTTATTTGCATGTTTATGCACATGTAATGCTGTGTGTGTGCATGTTCAGAGCAGCATTCTACCAGGATACTCCTGTGTATGCAAACTTTCTGTATGCATGCAAAAACAAGGTGATTTGCTACATTTGTCAGATGAATGTGCAGAACTGCAATTCGACTGTCATTTCCAGTGTTTCGAATAAACAGGAAGCAGATCTAATATCCACTGTTTTTCCTCATTCTCAATTAATAATTGCCAAAACTGCCAAAGCTGAAGACACAAATGCAGATTGTTCAGGGAACATTCAAAAGTAACATTCTCATAATGTTTGCAAAATGATCAAATGGAATGTTCACTTAACAGTCGCAAGAAAAAAGATGACAATGTAGCATACTATTATTTGTAATGCTTTGTTGTAAAACACGTACTGTTTCACACACTATTCAAAAGAGTATGCAGTATGTATGCAGTGAGCATCTGGACAGTTTTTATGTGTTTTTTTTATTGTAAACTTCAAAGTCAGAGTGCATTATTATCATTTTTTTCTCAGTCTGACAGTAGCAGAACATAAAACACTTCACATGATGTCGAGTGTTAAAGCCACAGGACCCTTAATTATAACGCTTGTGCTTTTAGCGGAAGCCCGCGAGAGATTTTCCTCTGCTGTGTGTTTCAGATGGGCCATAATGAAGAGGGACTGCAGGCCGTTGATGATCTGATCAGGAGGTACGTTCACTCCTGTGCCTGGTATCTGGGTCCGTTCTACAATATGGTCCGGCTTTTCCACCCAGACTACATCAAATCCCTTCTGACAGCCTCAGGTAAGAAACACACACCGCATAACCACAAACAATGTACACTAACAGATGCTTTCTCATCAAGATCAGGATGAGTTTGTTTCTTCATCAGGTTTGGAGAAATGTAGGACTCTCATTCTGACGGCACCCATTCACTGCAGAGCATCCATTGCTGAGACACTGATGCAATGCTACATTTCTCCAAATCTGATGAAGAAACAAACTCACCCTAATCTCGGATGAACTGAGGATGAGCACATTTTCAGCACATTTAAAATTTAAACACAACCCATAAAAACCAAACAGAATGAACATCAAGTCTCTGTTCAATGACCTGCTGAGTCATTGTGAAATATTCCCAGAAGTTCATCTCGGGTGTCTGTGTGAAGGGTGAGGCGAGTGTTTCTGCTGTGAGGGTCACATGAATTATTGCAGCAGTCGCTGTTTAATGTTCATAAATGAGTTCCAGCGCGTTTGAGCACATCACTAGTGTGTAAAAGATCATCGGTCGCTATGAATTCAGTGTTGTAATAACATTAAACTCTTTATATTTGTTCTGGCAGCAAACATTACTTTCAAAGACAAGATCTTTTATGGGTTTATGAAACCTTGGTTGGGTAAGTGATGTTCAAACACACATCTGAACACACACTCTCTGTCCTAAATATTATGCAAGAATTACAGTACTGCTTAAAAGTTTGGGGTCAGTTACAATTTGTTTAGGAAGAAATTAATACTTTTATTCATTTACACAATAAATTGATCAAATGCGGCGATAAAGACATTTATAATGTTACACAAGATGCAAGATTCGATTCATCAGTGAATCCTGAAAAATAAGTTTCCACAAAAATATTGTGCAGCACGACTGTTTTCAACATTGATAATAATCAGAAATGTTTCTCGAGCAGCAAATCAGCATATTAGAATGATTTCTGAAGATCATGTGACACTGAAGACTGCTGAAAATTCAGCTTTGATCACAGAAATAAATTACAGTTTAACAGATACTCTCATAGAAAACAGCTGTTTTAAATTCTAATAATATTTCACATTTTTACTGTTTTGACTGTATTTTTATTCCAATGAATGCAGCCTCGGTGAGCAGAAGAGGCTCTTTCAAAACATTAAAAAGTGTAACCGACCCTAAACCTTTAAACAGTAAGTTTCTCTCTGTATAAAGCACTTCCTGTGTGTTTTCCAGGCCATTGTCTTCTGCTGCAGAACGGTCAGGAATGGTCACGCCATCGACGACTTCTGACTCCTGCGTTCCACTTCGACATCCTCAAAAAATATGTTCACATATTCAACCAGTCCACCAACATCATGCATGTATGTCAAACGCACACAAACATTTTAAATCTACATTTATAGATTGTCAACACCATTCATCTCTAGTTGCACTTAATTGCATTAATCTTTTGTGCACGTGAGGTTGCACAACGCTGCAAAGCTGCAGATTTTGTAAAAATAATCTACTGTGATGACAGATAATTTCCTGATGTTTGTGTGTTTCGTGCAGTTTCACACATCTCACAGATACAGTGTTTGCATTGGCAGTGCCAACCGACAACCGCTGAGCCACAATGAGTTTTATCACATTTATCACAGCAGCTGAAACACTCAAGATATTCATCTGAGAACAGGGAACAATACAGAGTGAATCTCACAAAACACTTCCAGGTCATGATTTCACTGCAAAATCAAAAGAATGAAATAAGGAAATACATAATTTTTCTGTTTCCATTTCAGTGTTATCACTGAGAGACTATTGTAGTGTTTAGTAGTATTTTGAATCAGCTTTTCTTTTTATTATTTTATTTAAAACTATAAGGTTTTAGCAATTTTGTTTGTTTGGTCTTTATTTATTTATTTTTTTAAATGTCTATATAGTTTTTATTTTTAGTTAGTGGCAACTAGCTGAAAAAATATTAATTTGAGGCTTTTTTATATTTTATTTAAATTTGAATTTATTTCAAGTAGTGAAATGTTTTGTTATAGTTTTAGTTTTAATTCGTTATAAGAACTCTGTTTCAGTTTAATTGTAGTTAAAGTGTTTTTTTTTTTTTTTGGTTATTTTGTTTTTGTTTGTTAAAATATGAATATTAATTTGAGGCTTTTTTATATTTTATTTAAATTTGAATTTATTTCAAGTAGTGAAATGTTTTGTTATAGTTTTAGTTTTAATTCGTTATAAGAACTCTGTTTCAGTTTAATTGTAGTTAAAGTGTTTTTTTTTTTTTTGGTTATTTTGTTTTTGTTTGTTAAAATATGGCTATTTAGTTTTTATTATTATTATTAGTTTTTGACTTTTTTATATTTTACTTTATTTCAGTTAACATTATTTATTGTAGTGTTTAGTAGCAATTTGAATCAGCTTTTTTCTTTTCTTTTATTTAAAGCTAAGGTTTTAGCAATTTTTTTTATAGGTCTATATAGTTTTTATTTTTAGTTAGTGGCAACTAGCTAAAAAAATTAGAAATGTTATTTGTAATGAATTTATTTCAAGTAGTGAAATATTTTTTATAGTTTTAGTTCATTATAAGAACTCTGTTTCAGTTTAATTTTAGTTAAAGTGTTTTTGTGTTTTTTTTTTCTTTTTGGTTATTTTGTTAGTTTTTGTTTGTTAAAATATGGCTATTTAGTTTTTATTTTATTTTATTTAGTTATTTTAGTATTCAACTTAAACTACAACTTTTTATATTTTACTTTATTTCAGTTATCATTACAAAAATGTATTTATTTATTAATTTTATTTTAGTTTTATTTAACTATAATAACCCCGATTGTGACATTATTTTCATGCAAATTTATTAAAATATTCCCCAGATTCCCAATACAGTATTTTCATGTTCTTAAAATGTGCTTCATATTCTTTAAGCAAAATATTATTTCTCGTTTCTTTTTGTGAAATTGCGACCTGGACGTGTGTTTTTTTGGAGGGTTTTTTGTGCATCTTTTCTTTGTATTTTTAGGAGAGCCATCAGCAGTCATCATCACAATGGCATTTGTGTTTTCACGCGGAAGATGAATGTGTGTGTGTCTGAACTGAAGTGTGATGATCAGCGGTTTGTTCTTGCTGTGTGTTTGTTGTGTGATTCAGGCTAAATGGCGCCGCCTGCTGGCTGAGAAGCAGAACAGTCTGGATATGTTTGAGCACATGAGCTCCATGACGCTGGACAGTCTGCTCAAATGCACCTTCAGCTGTGACAGTCACTGCCAGGGGTGAGTGAGTCTGTACATCATACACCGATACAACAAATCTCACTCGCAAACTCACGTCTGTCTCTCTCTCAGGAAACCCAGCGAATACATCGCAGCCATTCTGGAGCTGTCCAAACTGCTGGTTCAGAGGCAGCATTACCTTCCGTATCACTGGGACTGGCTGTACTGGCGCTCCGAACCGGGACGGCGCTTTCGCAAGGCGTGCAACATCGTGCATCAGTTCACGGCTAAAATCGTGCAAGAACGCCGTTCCCAACTCGACCAGCAGGGGCCCGCAAAGAACCGCACGGAAAACCTGGAATACACTGGAGGCTACAAGAAAAAAGACACGGATCTCATTGATTTACTGCTGCTGTCAAAAGCAAGTGTTTATAAACAACGGCTCCATGCTCAGCAGGACTGCCTTAATTTGATCAAAAATACTGTTTCGTAACATTATAAATGTCTTTACTGTCACTTTTGATCAATTTAATGCGTCCTTAATGAATAAAACTTAATTTATTTTTTTACCCCAAGCTTCTGAATGGTAGTTTATCACAGTTTCCATAACAATATTGTGCAGCACAACTGTCTTCAACATTGATAATAATCAGAAATGTTTCTCGAGCAGCAAATCAGAATATTAGAATGATTTCTGAAGATTATGTGACACTGAAGACTGGAGTAATGATGCTGAAAATACAGCTGCGCATCACAGAAATAAATTACAGTTTAACAGAGATTCACATAGAAAACAGCTGTTTTACATTGTAATAATATTTCACAATTTTACAGTATTTTTGATCAAATAAATGCAGCCTCTGTGAGCAGAAGAGACTCTTAATTCTTCTAAGTTTTGGCCACCAGTGTGAAGAAGTGTTTCGTTGATGTATTTGTTTTCTCATGTTCAGGATGAGAACGGCGAGGGACTCACGAACGAGGAGATCCAGGCTCATGCAGATATGTTCATGTTTGCCGGTGAGTCTAGCGCTCACATTCATTGGTTCTGTGTGTGTTTGGATGATGAAGCATCACTGGCGTCTTCATCAGGTCACGACACCACCGCCAGCGCGCTCTCCTGGATCTTCTACAACCTGGCAATGCATCAGGATCATCAGGAGCGTTGTCGAGCTGAAATCAGATCCGTGCTGCGAGACGGAGACGAACACGACATCAGTTGGTCAGAGAAACTCATTTCAGAATAACCATCAATCAAACAGGAATCTTACTGCATGCACACTGCACACATTCTACTGCATACTATTTTAAAGAAATGCATTTTTATTCTACAACACATAAACAATTGTATGATACATTGTTGTCGCATGACATCGTGTTTAATTCAGCGAGTAGCACGCTATAATCTAGGACACATCAAAATAAAATGAAGGAATCAGCCATCAATTTAATAATTTAAACACAAAAATGGAATTTAAAACTGCTTATTTATTGTGTTAAAATATACAATAAATTAATAAATCATTTTTAAATTGATATATCTGAAATACATGTTTTAAAATAAAACCATAAATTAGTCAAATAATATAATCCCAGAAATAAATATGGTTATTTTGCATTTTTATGTATTATTATTATTATTTTGTAAGTTTTAAAATGTAGTTAAAATAAAACAATAAATTAAAAATAAAAAGACACATTCAGTAAATTCATCTTTTAAAATGCAGTTAAATAAAACCATAAATGTGTCAAATAATAAATCATTTTTAAATGCATCCAATTATAATGTCAAAAATAAATATTTTTAATAGTTTTCTGTAAAAAAAAGTTTTAAAATGTAGTTAAGATAAAACAATAAATTACTAAATAATTTTTAAATTGAAGAAATAAATAGACGTAAAACTGATTAGTAATGCAGTTAAATAAAACAATACAATACAATAATAAATCATTTTTAAATGCATCCACTTATAATCTCATATATGAATAAATTGTTCATTTGCATTTTTAACGTTTTTTTTGTAAAACTAATAAATAAACTGTTTTGTTAAATCTTGTTTTTAAATTGCAATTAAATAAAACAAAAATAGTCAAAAAATAAATATTTTTTAAATGCATCCAATTATAATCTCAGAAATCAATATGCTTATTTTGCAAAAAAAAAAAAAAAGAGAGAGAGAGAGATGTTAAAAATGACCTTCGGACACACATCACACTGGAAATGAAGGTCAAGTCAAGCACATTGCATTGTGGGACAAAATGTTTCTGTATAGTTGTATACTGCACATTTTGACAGACGTAGCACATCATCTACGCATACTGTGCTCAGACGTCATACTGCAGATGTAGTAAGAGTGGTGTGTTAGTATGTTATTATGAAGGTCAGCAGTGAATGGGCATGTTTGGAATGAAGTACTAGCGCACTGACTGTGATTCTGTGCTGTGATTGGCTGTAGGGAGGATCTGAGTCACCTGCCCTTCACCACTATGTGCATCAAGGAGAGTCTGAGGCTTCACTCGCCCGTTCTGGCGCTCACCCGCTACTACTCACAAAACATGAAGACGCCCGGAGACTGCATCATTCCCCAGGGTCAGAGCGTCACACACACACACACACACACACACACTACGACTGCTGAAGCATTGCATCATGATGATGAGCTTCACACTGCTGCATTTGTCTGTCTGCAGGAAGTCTCTGTTTGATCAGTATTTATGGTGTCCATCGAAACCCTGAAGTCTGGCCTGATCCAGAGGTGAGTGGACTTTATTGTTAGTATTTATTAATATTTTAGTTTTTTTTTTAAGTTTTAATTTTACTTTATTTTTAGTCATTTTGATGTTTTTATTAAATTTTATTTTTTAATGTCTAGTTGCATTTTTAGTTACATTAATGAAACAAATAATGTATTTATTATTTACATTTTTATTTATATTATTTTTTTATTATTATTAATTATAATAACAAAAAAACAAAATTCAGTTAGCTTCCAAGGCAACTTACTTAATTTTCTAGTATCAGTATTTAATTTAATATTTATATTTTATGTAATTTATTTTTATTTCAATTAATGAAAATGTTTAAGAGTTCTAGGTTTTGTTTAATGATAACAACACTGCACTGAGCTAAATATATACCGGAAGTGTTTTCTCCTCCTTTTAAAACCTAATGCATTTGTTTATTTTGTTATTATAACACTGCATGATTATATGTTTAGTTGCATTTCAGGGTTATTAACTAAAACCAAAACCACAAAAAAACTTCAACTGAAAAAAAATTGATATATAAAAACAATTATTTCAGCTAGTTACCAAGGTAACATTTCTCATTTTCATTGAGTTTTACTTGATGTACTAAAGTAACTAAAACTAATAAAATATTAATAAAAATTATGTAGACATAATTATAAAAAATACAAAATTACTAAAACATTACTAAAATGAAGACAGATAAAATAATTCAAAATATTAATACAAATACTAATATTATCTTAATGATACTGAAATAAAACGTTGGTATTTTATTATCCAAGCAGACCTGAGGTGTGTTTTTGGTGGTGACGCACTAGTTGAGCAGCACGGCTCTGATCTGCAGTGAATGGATGAGTTATCGATGAGTTTTTCTCTGTGCAGGTTTACGACCCCATGCGCTTCGACCCGGAGAACTCACACGGACGCTCGCCTCACGCTTTCATTCCCTTCTCAGCAGGACCCAGGTAC